AGAGAGAGAGAGAGAGAGAGAGAGAGAGAGAGAGAGCATATTCACAGAGGAGGTGCTCTCATCCTTGGTTCCACGAATGGAATATTTATCATGCTTGTCTTTGCTAAGAAAGAAATGAAGAACAGCAAGGCATGGATTCCCATCATATCATGGAAAAGACAAGACCTACACACACCATACTTCTGTTCATCCGTTCCAACAATAAAAGAAAAAAAAATCAAAACCATTAAATCTCAGAATAATTTTATGAACATGGAAATATCCTATGAACTTATATCAACAAACCCCCCACCCCCCAAAAAAAAAAAAAAAAAACAAACAAAACAAAACCAAAGAGAGAATATTGAGAGACTTACTTCGGAGCACGAGGCCTCTCGGGGTCAGTGGCAGACGCAGCAACGTTCTTATGGCTCGGCGACCTCTTCATCTTCTCCGCCGCCACCTCCTCCACGTCCACCGTGGTCTGAAGCTTGAGCTTCAGATCGACAGTCTCCTCAAACGCCCTCTTGCCTGAATTCTTCGTCGCATCCCCTTCTCCTCCTCCTCCGCCGGCACCACCGCCTGGCAGTCCCAGGCGCAGCTCCGTCTCCTCCAACCCCAAGCTGTAATCTTCCATTACAGCCTCCTTCATTCTCCCAAGCTTCACCTTAGACTCCTCTCGAGACTACTCTATATTTAGAGCCCGAAACAGATAGAGAGAGAGAGAGCGAGAGAGAGAGAGAGAGAGCAGCGGAGGCAGCACTGCGGCTAATTATGTGGGAACTTTTACCATGGTCGGTCGTACGACCGAACCCGGCATGGGACCGACACGTGTCCGACGGATCCGGTTGCCGCTGGGTGACGCACGATGACGTCGCCAGCTGCTTCCCGTCGTGGAAGTGCGCGCCGCCGACTAAATCGCCGATCCCGACGGCGCGGAGAAAGGTAGTGCAGTCGGGGACCCGCATGTCACACGGCGCCGTGTCGGCTGGCGATTCGGGACCACATATCCGACGGCCGAGATGGCATCTCCCTCCGCGGGTAAAGTCCCGGGTCCCAGAACTGGTGGGGCCGTTAAAACGGTGGCACACCCAGGGGGCATGTGCCGAGATTCGTGCAAAAAGACAGAAATAAATGAGAACCGTCCATATGAAGTTGGATTTTAATTCCTTTAATGCTCATTTAAGCTTATAAATCTTAGATCAAAATGGCCTTAATGCTGAATACTGCACGAAATGTAGAGATTTAGTTCTCAATTAACCGAGGGCGGTGGATGGAATAGAGTTGCAATCAGAGTAATCATCTCTTGGAGAGGAATATTTCAAGTTGGGTACAAGGAATATGATAGCTAGATTTTAGCTCAAAAGGTGAAGGTTTGAGCTGTTTGAGTTGAAGGTTCTCAAAGTCCACTCCAAAGGCACTGATTCTCCAAAATATTGATGGATAAAACTTATGTAAGATTGTATTCATTTTATAAATTTCCAGAAATCTATTTTGAACTCAATTTTGTGTTTTTCTCAAAATTAATTGGGAATCAATTGTTGTACAAATCTTTTGTTTGTTTATATCATATTGCATGTAGTACTCTACTTTGGATGCTTCATGTGGCTAATAAAGTCTAGCATTGTTGGGTTTACAAGTGTATTAAGATTTTTAGATATGTGATTGGGAATGTTAGTATGAGAATGAGTCCTTGTAAGTTTTAGTACATGAGAGCAAGATGTAAAAAATAATTTGGGTGCTTTTGGGTTTCTGTTTAGGTGTTTAAAAAATGTGCTCTCTAAGATTTCTAAAGAGGATATTCTCTAGGGTTTTTAGAAAGTATGAGAAAAAGGTATAAATCCTTTAGAGTTTATGCAAAATGATATAGAAGAGGGGTTATGCTTGAGTAAAGATAACTTAAGGATCTTATAATTGATCTCACATGATAAAGAATTTAATTTTCTCTGTTGATGTAGTTGAAAAGTGTCGAACTATGTTAATCTTGTGTTGGCCTTATAGTATGTTCTTGATTATTCATCTATACAT